TATGACCCTGTGAACTTAAAACGTAATCCAATAGAAAGCTTCACTCACACTATTGTATTTCATTTCAAGATACAAAATGCTATTGGGGGCGGTGGCTTACGCCGACCGATTTTAGCCTTTATATACAGGACGATACGTTCTGTAACGATCCCGTACATTCTAGATGTTCTTGAATAGTCTCGCAGTCGCAGTCGTTAGTCGTGCCGCGTAAAATAAGATTCGACTGGAGGCGGTCTTAACTTGGAGCGGCTACTGCGTAAAAAGGACGGGATTAACTCGCCACTCTTTATTCAGCTAAGAATGCTTTTACTATGATTTGAAATCGATAAAAATCAAAGCCATCTTTTTGCATAATGGGAAATTCATATCGATGAGTGCTTTAAACCACTTAAATAAAAATGCTACACTTAATATTTCTAGTTACGAATAAAGAATCGTGACTGTCTATGTCATGAAGCTTTTAGCTTCTGCTTATTACTGTTGGAGGCTACCTAATTACAAAGTAGTAGAGTTTAAAAACGAGTTGAAACATTGTCGGTAACAAATGCTAATTAGCATGATTATCATTTGCATTGGAAGTATGTACGTGAGATGTGATAAACCGTGTGATAAGATCGTGATCGCTCGATGGGTTTTATACCAACTTATATAGCATTCACAGTAAAAAAAAAGAAGTGTAGATGGTACGATGTTTGTTTAATTGTCCGTAGTGTTAATTAATGCTTTTGGTGAATCAAGTTTTCTGCAAAACAATATTTGTTTTACTAATTGTTACATACAGTTAAGAATCTTTTAAATAGATAAAAAAGCCAAACACATTATACAAAATACCCATTTCGATTTGTAACTGTGTTTGTTTAATTTTGTGAAATAGAAGCTTTAAGGGAAACGCATATTATGCCCGAGGAACATCTTTGATACTTTTTCAAAAATTATTTGATATGATTAGAATAAATAAATATTGGACCACATTAACATCAAATACCTATAAGGAACAAACGTCTTTATTGCTATGATTTTAAGATAGGAGGCTAAGTATCAATAATATGAGTGAAAACAAGCTACAATCATCCAGGCATAAGACTGGTGTTGCCAGGTGTCCCGATTTTCTGGGGACGCGTCCCGATTTGTACCTAATCGGGAGGCTAAATGTCCCGATTAATTATAGAATGAAAATTAGGTAATTAATATAATACTATACTTAGTAGTTTAAAACGCAATAAATTAAACCCAGACTTAAAAACCCCTTGTGTTTTGTTAATGTCCCGATCTGCAACACTAAATAAGACGATTTAGCAACTTCATAACTAAGTATTAAGTATTATTCCTGACGGTGAATCCTAGTGACAAAGCAAGTATTTTACGGCTACTGTGATAAGAGTAAGTAGTTAAATTTTTACGAGATCGTTTATGAAAAACATTTGCTAAACGTCACCTCCGCAGATTTGGCAAACGTCCTTCATGGCGTATAGTTAAACGACCTCGTTTTGCTTCCAGTTCTAGGCCTTTACTGCGGTAATATAATAACGTACTTTTTACATAACGTGCCATATTTTTTTAAAGTGCATCTTTAAATGGTTTTGGTTAATAATAATATCAAACAATTAGAAAAACAAATAAAAAATGTACGGGTATATTAATGTTACGCCCTATTCAATCCGGCTTCTATATATTTTATATAGGAAGAGTGTGAATGCCATATGAAATATATTCTCTCAGTTCATGAGTACCTACTGCCTGTCTTCTGCGCCCCTCAAAATATCCATGGCGATGAGTCATAGGGGAAGCAATGACGCCATTGCCGAGTAAACACGAGATTTGCATTGAACTCTGCACGTTCCGTTTTCTTCCTTGTTAACACTCTTATCAACTAATAAGTTTTGAATATAGCGAAATATATAGTTTGAAATAGACTGTACAATAGATATTATAGTATAGGAAGAATATAACACTAAATTTTGGTGTACATGCAATGTTTGAAAGTTTGCCTTTTTCTGTATGTGTATCATCGAGAGACGGGTTTTTAATGCATAGATTTCTATGCTAAAAGGTATTTCAATAATATATTTATTTCAGATTCATTGTTTTTATTATTAATCGCAAATAAAATTAAGGTTAATTGATTAAATAAAAATCGTATATTATATTTCTTACCGAAATTATATAATTGATTTATCCCTTTGGGTTACTACAAGTAATTCCATTTGATCCAATGGAGTTGTTAAGGAATTCAAAGAATACAAGCTTTGTTTATCGTGATGTTAAATTAAGCGTTTCCGTGATTTCGCTCCCTTTCCAAATGTTTTGGTTTCACTTGGAAAATTATAATTTCACCCTGTAAATCTGTTGGAATGATGAGGAAATTCTATTAAATAGCAGCGATATCAGTATATTTCCGGTTTATGTACTCAATTTAGATGGATGATAATATTGATGATAAAATAAGAAAGGTTGTGTTTTCTACACGTAAAAATTTTCTACCATTTATGCGAAAATGCTTTAAATACTTCTATTATTTATGAAAAAAATAATAAGGATCAATATTTATGAGAAGAGATTGTATATAATGTAATGTTGAAATAAATTTAAATTATTCCCACAGCGATGCTGCACTTAGGTACAAAGGTAGTGGAGATCGAATCCTGGGTAGGTGATTATTGTGTGATGAGAACAAACATTTGTTCCGAGTTATACTTAAGCCCATAATTTATATAATTTACGTACCTATACAAACTCTACTTAGTTAAAGGAGCTAGATTATTACAAGACGTCCGGAATTTAGTACAATTATATCAATTTCATTTCAACAGATGGGGTAGAAGGGTAGAACCTACAAGCAGAGACGGATAATTAGTAATGCTTAATTGGTTCACAATTCTCCCAATTTCATATATCCATTTTTGAAATCGAAGAACTTCCCAAAAATTTCCAAACTTACGCCATGATCTAGAAATTATCATTGGTATTGGGAGAATTGTGGACCTAAAAGCATTACTAATTACCCGCCTCTGCTTGTAGGTTCTACCCTTATCAGAACATTTGCCATTTAAGTCAAGAGATTGTGATGACTCATGGGAGAGCCCGCTTTGTTTCGAAGTGGCCAATATAACTAAATCGTTTCGCGGTGATGTATACTGGGAAAATCCAGAGTTTGTTTTGATTAAAACATTCACTGTTTTGTAGTACCTAAATCAAATCAATCGCTAATAAAATTGTGTTTATGTTACTTTAATACAAATAGATTAGATTAAAGCGTTTTCAACTTTATTCATTGTTCCCGCGAAACTGAATTTCAAGTTTTACATAAAAAGCAGACTTAGAGAAAAACTTAGCTTTAAATATTTTTTATCAATCCAAATTTTTATGTTCTGCAAAATACTTTTTTAACAAGCAAGTTGTTTTATTGTTCTCTATTTAAATGAAATCCTACTCACAAAAAAATTAAAAGCAAATATTTTCTTATTATTTTCAAATCAGTTATTTGTATGTTATCTTTCCGCGCTAGTATGTTTTGTTTATCTATTCAAATGTGTTTTTGGTATATCTTATTCAGATAAATAAAAAGCTTGCACTTGTAAAATAATAAAATAGAGGTAAGTTTACGCTACTAATTCTTTTTGTTAATTACTTTCAGGAAATCATAAGCAGGAAATCATTTAGATTTTTTACGATAATCCTAGGGATTTTGCGAAAACGCGGATAATTAGACAGTGGCGATGGCATTGCTCAATGTTACTGTAAACAAAACGCTCATTTAGTGTTAATCCAAGAATATTTATAATAAACTACGATTTTTTTCGTTATCTTTTTGAGGTGACACGCGCTTTAGCAAAAGTCTTATCTTTTTTCGGTATTATTGAGAAATACAAAATTCTTAGGATTTTCGCGAAAATTCGATTTATCAAAGCAACCTACGACATAAAACACAATACCACCTATTGAGAATTCGAAGTCTGCTATGAATATTCGCCGGCCTTTGTATTTAAGTACGTTCAATGTCGCCAGTTCAGTGTTACGTCTATACGTAGGTACATAATTTATTACCCAACTTTGATTATTAGCGTTTACGTCTGTGAAAATATTAAAGGAGATGCTGTTTATCTTCTTAATTTATTCTATTTTTAACTATAGGTAAGTTTAGGCTTACGAATTTTATATTATATTTACTATCTTGTTAAAGTATTATATATTTTAATATTTATCTTTAGAAGTGTACTTCTAAAAAAAACAAGTAAATTCCATGGTAACTTATGTGAAACGAGTGAATTAAATGAGCGTTCAGTAACTTAACGGAAATAGCTACAAGTCATGTTGTTTAAGTACTGAAGTATAGACTCAATATTCATCTTTTTCTAAATGAAAAGAATGTAGCGAAATCTAGCTGATGCGAATGTATCGCTAAATGTGACATATCATTAACTTCTTAAACTAAAGGTAAAAAAAGTATATGTAAATTACAAAATTAATAGCTTTTTAATTCAGAATCAACATTATAATTTTAATAGTAGTTTATTACCTAATTAATTACACCATTTTTAGTTTATCATGTGTTTACTAAAATTTTTGTAGTAGCGTGGTAAACTGGTAAGACACGAGAGCAAGGCAAAGCTCATTTGTAAAGACGGCTGTAATAAAATATATGCCAAGTTCGTCGCTTCGGTGTGCCAGTAGTTACTAATTGGGTCATAAATTTATTCGCGGCGAATCCGGATTTCGATCACGGATCTACGCGAGGTCGATACTCTCGCCACGAGCGACGGCACTAGTGCCACTAGGTGGGCTCGGTTTATGGAATATTAAATTTTACAATATGAACGGTATAGGAACAACATGTGGTTTTAGTTCAAGAATAATATTATAATCTGTAAAACGGAAACAACTTGTTGGGCTGCGAAAAGAATGGCCTTCGCGCCGGCGATGTGACTGGTGTGGTAAGTACGTCTCTCGCTCACTTTGCTCGCTTAACACTACATATTGGACATGACTTTCATACCTATTGGCTATCGTGTAGGGGTGGAATACTTGAAGTGTTGGCCATAACGCCAGACATAGTGATGCGGTGTAGGTTTTTTAACGTACTTATATCGTAGTTGAAGAGACCCCGCCTCTGTCAACTGCTGCCAGATTTCGGGGGCCACTCTGAGGACCACATGTGCCACGTGTGGATTCCTGGTCCTTTTCTCATATAGGGCTTCGATTAGCCTTTCTTCATTTTTGAGTCCCTTCCCTTCCCTTCCTTTTCCATTCTCTTCCTTATCGCCTCTTCTACCCTTTCCTTCTTTTTATCTCCCCTTACGAACTTTACCACATGAGTGGATTTTTATTCCCCACCCTTTCTATTTTAAATTGCTCATTCTTCTCCAATCTTTCCTTCAATCTTTTGGCTCCTTCCTTTTTCACACAACCTATTACTACCTTTTGTCCCTTAACCTTCTTTACTCTTCTCACTTCAGTCCACTCCTCGTCGTCGGCCATTGTTTTACTAAACTCTTCAAAGACTTGCTCGCTTGTGAGCTTTTCGTCAGACGACGCGACAACTATTGAGTGGAGTGAAGGAGGAATTTTCGCCTTTTGTGCATACGTTTGTCTTCTTGTTTCTCCTAGTGTTTCTTTCACAATTTCCCTAATATTTATCTCTTCGCTACTCTCCTTTTTACTTCTTTCCACCATTTTCTTCTTATTTTCCTCCACTATTATCTTACTGTTCTCTGATAGCATTTCCTTTATTTTCCTCTGTCCTTCTGTTATTTTACCACATTCTTCTTTTATTTCCGTGTAGTTATCATTATTTCCATCCCTTTCACACTTCCCTTGTCTTCCATTCTTCTCTCTGTAGTGTTTCCTGCATTTCCCTGTCCGGCCTTATTTTGCACTTCTTTAGCTTTGTTTCCTATTGCTTTTATCGATTGTTTGTATTCTTCATTTTGTTCTTCCATTTTTTGTAAATAATTGTTCTATTCGCTTAATTTCTTCCATTTCCTCTTTCATATTTAGCCTCATTTCATCCATCCTTTTACGTTCTTCGTTCTTTCTTTTCTCATTCTGTTTCTCTATCATTTGTAAAACTATCTTTAGTTCATTCATTTTCGTCCAGTTGCGTTCGTCTAGTGCGCGAGGTGCCTAATTTTTCTTTTGGTTTCCGCTTAAGGCAGAAGTGAACACATTTGCTAGGCCATATTTATAAAATTACGATTTAATCATTTATTGTATACAAGTCTCCTTTAAAAGGTAGTTTTCTTTCAACGTCGCAAATAGTCGGACAGCCTTAAAGTTTTTTGTTTTTGATTTACATGTTCACGTCTTCTTCCTTCTGTATTTATGGTGTGAGCAGTGAAGTGTTCATTATAAATTTATTGGCATAATTCCAGACGTCATAAAGCCCGTGATTAACACGGATGTACGTAAATATAATAATATGAGAAGCTGAAATAAATTGAATATGATTTTGTCGAAAATCTAAGATTTAGTTTCTCTTGTATAGTTTGTATAAAGTCGCTTATTAAAATGTTAGCCTGAGATACTAGCAATAGGTTTTAACGACAATATCCTTAATATAGACACAGTTTATACTTGCAAATTTTTAAAGTAATGTCAGAACTTGTGCACCTTGCTTTCTTTGTTAACCTGATCATTTGAAGTAACACGGATTTGTTTGTTTGTATAATTTCCATAAAAATTGCCACGTGGAAAAATATAATCTGCGCACGCGTCTATTACAAACGTGGCATGGTGCAAAGTGCAATTTCACCAATGTTAATGAATTTCACAGACCAACGCAGACTCAGATCCCACCCCACGACAACGGCTAACTAGAGCCGAGGTCCAAATCTCAGAGACGCCCTCTAGTTGAGCCGATCTCCTCAGGTTCGAGTGGTCTAGAGGCTCCAGACGGAGAGGAAACTCCCCCCGTGGGGAGATGCCATCCACCTGGAATGCCCCTAGAGGCACTCGCCAATTCTAGGCTTGAGGTCCCCTAAGGATCTCGCCATCTCCAAACCCGGTGATGCTGTAAAGATCATCTGCGTCCAACAGCATACACACTCAAAAAAAACACAGATTACAAAGATTAAAGTCCTAGACGCACTCACTGTCCATCTTCCTGGAACTGGCTTGCGGGGCGGCGCTGTCCCGCGTGCTTGATCCGGCGGGTGAATGGTTCATTCTTGTTGTATTCTATTGGGCCCCAGATTCTGACATGATTGTCTAAACTTAAACTTGGATTTGACAATCCTTGTCATTCTCATATAAAATTAAAGCGAGGGACTGGTGTTTTGTGTTTCGAGAATCATGCCGGAATCGACACCAGTATCTATATAATTATATATTTATGATATCTTTCATGTTAATTTATTTATTTCTTGTAATATGTTTAAAACTATAAAATTATGATTTACTATTTTTTTTATCATTTTGCTTACTCGCGTTGTCCGGTATTACGAAAGTACCTACTGCAGTAGCACAGCTGTGACAGCGAGCCTGGCACATTACGATATAAATTGGTTAGTTTTCCTGTTAAATGTTTTTTTTATATTTTTGTTTTCTTGTTGTATTGCTGTGAAAAGCTAATAAATATTTTCTCTCCTTCTGTCTTTTTTTTATTTGAAAGTTTGAAGTAAACTAAGCGAAAACACCCTTTAGTCCATTTTCTTAAACGTTTTTCCACACATTTAGAAAAGCGATTGCCTTTCAGTAGGATTACTAATAACATTCTAGAGCTTATCCAGACGTCAAACCTTCCGGCATCCAGTCCGCAACATGATCTCTATTACTTGTCGGCTTCTAAAAATTACACAGAAAACCTAAACCTTACCTTCTTAAGTGCTAAAAGAGATGATTCCAAGCATTGGATCGCTCATAAAATCTACAATCATATTTAAGATCTGGTTTTCACCAAAGTGGCGATAAAACGAGTAGAACAGGCGCAGAAGCACACTGACTAAATCGGAGCAGATATTGTTTCTTTTCTCCTCTTTTCTTTTCTATGCTCAATCCTATCTTTAGTGCAATTTTAATTGTGTGGCGGTTGTGAAGTTAGCAGCGCAACTATGGCCGAGGCTTCAGTTCAGTAAAACTTCGTGCACTCTTTAATTTCTTTAACTGCATCACGACTTGCGCTAACTTCACAGCTGGTATTCAGTTTGACACTGAAGCTGAGCTTATAAAAAGTGTAAATAACGTTTTTCATAACAACGCAATACATCTCCCTTTTCATCTCCATTTTAATCGAGTCCGGGCCTGATAAGGAAGCATTATTATTAAAGACAAAGCAGACGCACGATACTCACCGTAGCTGGCGTAGTAATCGTGAAGCGTATATAATGGATAGTCACCTAGTTTGAACAGGTACGCGGAGAGGAATACAGCGTCGTGCCGCGGCTCCACCTGTCCAGCGGCGGCTGGGTGCGCCGCGGGCCTCATCAGCGATGATATAGAAAAGTCTGTAGGCTGCACCTGATCCGCCCAACCGCTTGCACTGCACAACTTACACTCTTCCTTCATACTAAACACTTACACTAGTTAACGCACCAAGCTAAAGCCCCTCCGAGAGGCTGAGCTCATATAAATATCTCTCTATAATAATCCGTTTTTTTTTGTACTCGGTTTGTACTGGGCACTGGTAAATCACATATAAAAATATCCGTGGGCTGGCTCGCACATCACAGAAGATATCACAGCGGCGTTCGGCATCGGCGTCTGCAATGCGTTTTATTATCTAAGTATTTTGTTATTTTTCTGAATGCAACTCAGTTTTCATGTCTACCGTCACGTACCGCTGACCTTATGTTATAGCAAGATTAACTTAGCAAGACTAACTCAACCATCAACCACAGCATCAACTAATAAGGAACTTAACTCGCTAACGCTTGTACGTCTAAATGAAAAGCTTTAGAACTTGCAAATCCATCACAGGCAAACCTTTTGTATGGCTTTCGACATACATGCGCTAGGTTCTGTGGAAACGCGATATTAAGAATTATCAATTACAAAATATTACTTCACAAATAAATTGATCTTTTTTGTCGTGCCTATACGTAATAATCTCACGGCGAATACAGAATCCAATTTCGTAATCCGATGTAGCAACTGAACGCAGGGAATATTACATCACTACACTATGCAAATAAGATTCATACCGACATTATTACTGTTGTTATTATTATGTAATTCGCCAAATGAAGGCGAATCGAAAAATAAGGGAAAGCATGGTTGTCAAAACAGTTTGACTTCCTAGCTGGAAAACGGCTTGTAACGCGCCTTGAAGTGTCTCATAACCGTATTATCTAACACTCGGCAACTATACACAATACGCTACGAAACAATTGACGGTTGTGACGGAAAAGTTAACTTTTTTCGGCTAGCTTAGGAACAGGAAATTAGATCCAAAAAAAAACTAGCGCGTCGATAAAGGGACTTGAGATGTTTTCATTGCATTCGGGCGTATTTAAGGTCATGTGTACATGATGGTAAACAAACGCCGGGCGGCGTGGTGCGATGGTGCTGCAATGCGGCGCGGGTGGAAGGTGCAATGCCGTGTTTGTTATGCCAGCTCCACTCCGAGTCGATGCGCCACTGTTAATCAACATGCATTTTTAAACGGCCGTCTTTCCAAGTGACGTCATTGGACATTGTGGTGTCATTGCGGGGTTATGATTGCACGTGACTCAAACTTTTAGGCAGTCCGTTCCTTATTTTTTGCTGAGAGCAACTCTGTTACAGAACAGAATGTGAAAAAAATACCTACAATCGAAAAGAGAACCTCCTCCATTTTGAAGACGGTTAAAAAAGAAGAGACATTTTATTTACAAAGTTTATGCAAATCAATAGACACTTCGTATCGTAAAAAGGGCTTTTTACAAGGTCAAAACCTGAATGCAGTCTTTAAATGCTAATCTGATCTAGTTTTTAGTACTGTATTCTACTAATATTATAATTGTGAAAGTTCGTATGTTTGTGAATCAATCATGTAACCTTCTTTGAACGGATTTGGGTAAAAGGACCATGTTAAAACATGACCCCCATGACCCCCCCCCCCCCCCCGGATCCGCCCTTGACCTGATACACATTCACGCTGCATATTTACACAATATACATGTGATATACAAATAAATACAATAAACAATATGATACAATTATGTGAAAAATAGTCAATAAATAAGAAGCAAAACTACAGTTTTTATTTTATTCATGATCCTACCTAACCAAGTTTTTCCTAATAGTTATTCTTTAAAATCGCACCGAATAAAATGAATTAGTTGAAATATTAATTCACTTCATACTGAGTTCATACTAAATTCATAGGTTGACCTTATGTTTCATTGAATATTACACATAACCTCAAAAAAAATAGTTTTCCTAATAATTTAAGTTCTCAGGAGTGTCCGTCAATAATCTTTGTTTTTACAGTCATTTACTTACGATTTTGAACCTAGAAAATAATATTTCATGATTGTTGGTTCTTAGGCTAACTATGTATGGACGCTGAACAATGTCCTTTAGTATGTATATACTTAGTTTATGACCTGGATTGAGACATAGAATACTTATTATTCCGGAAAAAATGCAAGATTCCTGAGGGATTCTCAAAAAACTAAAGTTAACGCAGACAAATTCGCGGGCGGCCGCTAGTTTGTTTATATTTAAACATTCAAGTTTAGCTTAGTACATGTAAGCCTAAAATTTAAAAGAAGTAACATTTGTCCGTCCGTCCTGTTTGTTATTATTATTATATCTAACGAATTCTGAAGAAAGTGGACATAGAAAGTCTTTTCACCAAACTCATGCTTGCAATAACTTTTCCTTGGAAAACTTTGTTCCTCCCCTTTTTATTTTCTTAACAGTTTATTTTAGCATTACATTTTCTTGTTTTAATGCTTTATTGTGTTCTCCGGCTGAGTGAGGAAATAACTTTTATTTTAGCAATACGGTCACTCTTTTACAAAAGCGCTTCTTAATTTTGCTTTCATTTATATTGTTTTGCAAAGTAACACAAGGATTTGTTATGTGTTAAGAATCTGAAACTACAAATGAATATCTAAATGTAGGTGATATCTTTCCAATCAAGTAGGTATTACTATAAATTGTCGTTTTGTCCGAGTCGTCAGCAAATCGTCGTTTGTTTATAATATAAAACAGTCATTTGTTGTTCCCAGCTGATGATAGGTGTAGGTAGGTGCCCTGAAGCCTTGACGTCGACTTGACCCGATTGTTCTCAATAATGGTTCGAAACAGAACGCTCCGTATAATAAATAACTCACATCGGATTGTCACTAACACCTACCATACAATTAACTACCTTTTAATAGTTTAAGTAAGGTAATATTTCCTTTGTCGCAGATATGACCATACATAGAGATGTAAAAAAATTGTTCGATTTTAAATGAAATAAGCATAGAGATGCTTATTTCATTTAAAATCGAACAATTTTTTTCCACCCATAACTATTACATTTCTATGTTTATTGCATTTGGTCAGTACTGACTTTTATTGAAAATTTGAAATGCAAACTGAAGTTAAGGGTTCATAATATCTAAACAAAAGATATGATGTATAATTATTGGAACAGTCATAGAGTAAGGTCATGATTTAAAAGAAAAAACAATAATATTAAATAAGTAAATACGGATATTTTTCATGCATTGGTAAACGCAATTTTATTTTAATACTAGCGCTCAAGGACTGGATCTCCAAACACAAATTTTGACAGATCGGTATTCGTATCGCCTGCGTCAGTTTCTTATAATCTCAGCAGATAAGAACCTAGCGGACATAAGAACAAATTATCTCCATCACGAAACTCTGACAATGGCGTTACGAATACTTTTTCAATTCAATAACATGTATTTAGTCTAGCCTGTTATAAGCACTTGTGAATGTCGAAAAGCTACGCCATCAGTTCGCAAATCAACGGCGGGAGACCTTGTACTTAGAAGAACCGGCAAGTAACTCGGCAAGGGCTGATTTTTTTCTCCCTTTGTAATATGCAGTTGTTAAAATGTAAAATGACTTCAATATGATGAATTCACGAAGTCACTTTCCATTACAAATTTAAATAATATATGACTACACAAACTATTTAAAAAACTGATGTAACACAAAGTTCAAGAATGCCGTGTCCTACAGTTTAGACAAAATTTACGAATAAAGGTAAATATAACGATAAATAGTATTTAATCTAGCACCCGTTCACGAGCATAACGCATGAACCAGCCATTGGTTCGCACAAGCATGTTTTAGGCCTCACACAGTTGTTTGTGCTTTGGGTACTGCTCTTAATTCTGTAGGATTATTGATAGCAAGAACGCTTCACCTTTTAAGACTATCAAACTAATTAATCTTCGGTCTACATCTCATGTGCTTATAACCGATAGTTCCTTGGATTCTAATTCCGTGAGAGCTGTGGTGACTGACTCTACTTTGTTTACTTACTGTTTAGTTTAATATCACAGAATTTTACGCGAATATCTTCAACATAACTTCTGAATTTGCGGTTTTTGTTACATCTAGAAAGCTGGATCATTGATAACATTATTTATTTAAATAAAATAAGACAATCGTCTGTAAGTATATAATATAGCATAACGCTTAATCAGAGTCAAAGAATGAAAGTATAAATATATTTGTGATTTTAGAATGAATTTAATTCTCTTATGGAAGTGTTTGTGAAATGGTTTCAACATTTAAAAGGTAAAATTACATCGCTCGTCTGATGTAATTGAATTTTTCTAGAACCACTTCTAATTAACTTAAACACATCTATAAATTGCCTTACAGAAAATCGATTAATATACAGCGTAGCAGTATATTAGTAGTAACAGTGCAACCCTAGGGCATTTTTTTGTTACGTACAATATTTTTGAACGTTTCATGAAATAGAAATAATAACAAAATTGAAAGAATTTTCATTTCCAAATTGAATTTAAGCCTGATACCGTCCGGTCACATATTCTGACGTTAGCGGCTTGATGGATGACATCATCGGATGGACAGGTGTATTTTTTTTCACCGTATCGGCGTTAACGTGCACCGAATATATGCGTCGCAGTATGCACGCGGCCTTGAGCCGGTAAACAAACGTCACGTGGCTGTAGAAACGGTCGGATCGTAACTATCGTTCGCCGGCCGTATTGTTTTCCTTGTTTTTATTGGAACTCTTTATTGCCGTTCAGAAAAGGTTCACGGTGAAATTATGCAAAGGCGAATTGGTTAAATTTTAAACATTACTATGCAACTGCGCGTATTATTTTCATTAACGAAACATCTCTTTGACGTTGGTAATACAGTTAAAAATGCAGGGAGAGGAAGACGTTTAAACCCAGCGTCGTATTCGAACGAAATCCTTTCTCACCGGGAATCTTCGGGAACAAAAAGAAGACTTAGAAAAAAATTAACCTTAATAATAGGTGAGTCCGCACGTGCGATTGCAGCAGCTGCCGTGACAGATGTCGACGGAAACCCTCTCCCCTCCGCTCCGCCCCGCACCCCCAACCTGCCTCGATCAT